ACGAACATGCCCAGGTTTAATGATTACGGAACATGGAAACCTTCACAAGTTATTTAATTGTTTCTTTCGCTGTTTTTCGCTACTCTTTCTACTCTTTTTTGTTATGTATGTTGGAAGGTCATGATTGTCATAGGGGATGTAGTAAAGTAAAAGTAAAAAGTAATGTAGTAAAAAGTTGAAAACTGAGTTTTGCAACTTCTTTAATAGCTTTTTTCGCGTTAGATATGACGCGCTCATATTTTGCCAACATATAGATTTTGACTTGAGCTACAAGCGCAGCTGCTGCTCCGCAAAACTGACGTTGCAGTGAGGGTCACGGTAGGGCAAAAAAGTATAAAATCACAATTCTGGTTGAATTTTGGTGTAGAGGATAGGGTATCCGACATGCTGATTGCGAAAAACGTACTGAATTTGCGTGAAGGGGCTTTTTGTAAGACTACGCTAGCTCTACGGCATGGGGTTTCGCCCTGAACAAGAAAAGAGGCATTATCTCAACAAATGAGCATGATTTTCGTATTTGGCAGGTCAAATAACCCTACTATGCGAAATGTTGGCGAGTTTTGAGGTTTTGGCTCTTTGGGCATCCATGGTTATCTCCAGCAGTCTTGCGCACAGCTATTCTTTCAGATTTTTGATGGCATCAGATCTCGTGTCTATCAACTCTATTTCTTTTCTATTGAGCCAAACGAGTCAACTTCTGGCAACAATCGACATATATTTTCGGGTCATTGTGCATGATCTGAGTTGTTAACGTCTTTTTGCTCAAAACCCCGTAAATCCCCAACATTTACTAATTTTCGAAAAATAACTGCAATTTTTCTATTTTGTATTCAAAAACAAAAGGTTTGTGCACTTTTGTAGCACGGAAATCTATGTACTGCCAGAGTTTGAGTGCGTCACATTCAATGAGAGGAATGTTACTAAAGTTCAAATTTCCAACTCAATATTTGTCACGGAGTCAAAGGTGACTTTGTTTTCAGAAGGTTCCGAAAGCCACCTCGTGCAGAGCCTTTATATTAGCATCTGCTGAAATCTTTTTTGAAGGGGTTACATGTCATGCAAATCAGGGGTCATTCTCAAGTGCATACGTTATCCATTCAATGAAATCAAGCATGCAAC